AATCAGCGGCCGGTGGGATTAACTGGGAGCGACGGGATGGCTCCGCCGCCCCCAGCCCTCCCCGGAGCCCCGAATCCAGCCCCTTCTGGAACCCAAACCAGGTTTCCCCCTGTAAATGCTGCTGCAACATGGACGAATGCCATTACACAACGCGTGCTGCGAGAGCTGGGCAAAGCCGGGAGTCACCAGAAGAGTTAATAGATCGGAACGCGGTGGGATTAACTGGGAGCGACGGGATGGCTCCGCCGCCCCCAGCCCTCCCCGGAGCCCCGAATCCAGCCCCTTCTGGAACCCAAACCAGGTTTCCCCCTGTAAATGCTGCTGCAACATGGACGAATGCCATTACACAACGCGTGCTGCGAGAGCTGGGCAAAGCCGGGAGTCACCAGAAGAGTTAATAGATCGGAACGCGGGGCAGTTACGGATCAGGCCTTGAGCTGGGGGGCTGCCCTGGCCGGTGGGAGCGCAGCCGGGACCCCACAGCAGCGGGGTGTCTCCCCTCCGGCAGCAGCGCTCCGTGAAACGCTGGAGGCAGCAGCGGTGTGAGCCTCTCCTACACACTGACATGGGGAAAAATAAGCATCAGGCACAGCTTCAGAAATCAAATGTGTTCACAGCCCCTGAAAATCTGTCATTATCTGCAGCTCAGTATTTTTTCCCAGTGGTGTTTACTCTACTCAGCAGACAAGGTCAGCAGTGTCTGCTCTGAAGGAGCCTGTAGCAGCTCTGGCCTCGGAAGAGGAGCTTTTTATATTCCCGTTTCCTATCTGTTAACTATTATTGCTTTACACGTGACTCTTGGCTTTGCCTGGAACAAGATACGTAGACAGCTGGTAAAGCCATTTCAGAAATCTGAGCAACGCTGTCATCTTCTGAAATAACTCAAGAGGCACTCAGAGACACGGCGGTGTTTCAAATACGCACAGCGCTCGGCTTGCTTGAACGATACAGCTCCCTGGAGGTGTACAGCAGGGCTCCCGCTTGGGAACGGGACAGTTTGACCGTGCAGAGCTGAGGATGCCGGTGCCGGTGGCGGGCGAGGGCAGGCTGGGGAAGCATCTCTCCAGCAGAGATGGTCGGAGGGTTATGTGGGCGCACGGGAAGGTAAAGGCACAGACTGGGGAGCGATGGCTGCAGCAGTGCTTGGGGAGGAGAAGCAGATGGCAGCATTTATCCGGGCCAGGCAGAGATCCGCTGCTACTCGGGATAAGGGCTGGAGAGCCCATGTCATGCAGTAAATGGGGAAGATTTAGGTACCTCCTGCTTGGAGGGAGGCTGGAGGTGGCATCTCGATGCCAGGCCTGGGCCACCACACAGCCAAAGCTGACCCCAGTGATAAGAGCAGAGCGGGAGCTGGGGCAGGGGCCGATTCGGGCAGATCAGGGGCTTGCAGGCAGCAGCAGGCAGCAGCCGTGGCCCTGCCCTGCCCCGCCCTGCCCTGGGGCTGTGCAAGAACCACAGTAAAGACAGGCAACGCATGCCTGCTCCCATGAGGAAATAAATAATTGGGAGTGTGTTGTTTTAAGCATTAATGTTAATGCAATCTTAATAATTATTCAGTCAACAGTAATTGTTTACAGAGGAATAATTTACAGTGCTTGTAAATAACTCTGGTTAGACTGCAAATTTAGTGTATCAAAAGTAAGTGGTAGACATGTATGACACGCTCAGGTTTATCTGGTTTGCAGATGAATCCTTAATGTATTATAAAATTCATGTGCTCAACATGAAAACACCATGGGGTTTTCTCTTATATTGTGAATCTACATAAATTAGTAGTAGTTACAGAAATACCTTGTGTTCTAGCCAGCTCTGCCACGGCACCACTGGCTGCTGCATACAATCGTTTTAGCCCAGAGCAATGCCACCCTCCTGCCAGCCTTTGCTGGGTGCTCCCCAGGTTTCAAACCCCACTTATGATCCAGCATCAGGGATGCTTCAAGCCAGGCACGGAGGTTATGAAAACCACACGGAGCTAGCGGCCGGTAAATGGCTTGGCCAGTTGTGGAGCAAATTCACTGTAGTGCAAGGACCAGTCCTAGTTCTCCCAAATGACCCCTCTGAAAGCGGTCGGTGCATTTCACTGCAGCCTTCTAAAACAGCCTTTCAGCTTTTAGATGAAGAGCAGCGTGTGGGAAATGAGGTTGGAGAGATTCCTGTAAAGTGAAATCAGATGCTGAGGAGCCTGCAGAGCAAAAGACGAATACCTCCGTCGCAGGGGGAGAAGGAGCGAATCTTTCAATAGCTAGGAAACCACCTCTTGTGCAAATATTTTGCTTGTGCGAACAGATTTTCTAACATGACCTAAACCAGCCAGGCAGGTGCTGGGGGTGGAAGTGGCACCAACAGGCTGCTGTGATGCTGCAAGCTGCCCAGCAGCCATGGAGCAGTGCGGCTCCTGTTCACATGCGGTCCCATCACCCGCACGCGGTGTGACGTGGCCGCCATCACCAGCGCTCCTGGGCTGCTCCGGGTTAGGATGGCTACTGCCTGTGGCGGCTCCACTCTTTCTCTTCTGCTTGGGCAAGGCCCCTCTCAAGGGTTCCTCTGCCTTGGTGGGACTACTACGTCACCCTCCCAGTAGCTATCTCAAGAGCTGGGAATTAAGAAAATGTGATAATTTAGAGTTCTGTAATTCCGTGTTGTTTGTGTAGCACTCGGATCATGTGGAATCTTGCTTACCGACAGGGCAAAGCAAAATCCATTTTGTAAGTGTGTTTGCTGAGTCTGCAGGGCATCCTCCAAAGGGCTCTGTGCCCAGGTGCTGGGGCACGCGTGCCACCCGGCTAGAGCATGGTATGGCTGTGCGCTGCTCAAGCCCTGGACTTACGCTCCTGCCTGCTTGCTGTCCGTCCTGGAGCGGCTGGAGCTGGTGATCAGGCCGTGTCCCACGGGACTGATGGCATCTGGGAAAAAATTATCTTTGGCAACTCTTGAAAAGGCCTTGACTCATTTCAGCTCTGCAGCTCTCTCAGCAGTGCCATGCCCTACCCATGGAGCAGTGCTGAGGATCGCCTGGTGCAAGGCTCACTTGAAACCATATTAATTTACGGGACTTGGAGCTTTTAGGGGCAGTTGTGGCCATCGCTTCCCAGTTCCTGGCAGTGGTGTGTGAACTTTTCCCCTCCTAAGCAGAGCTGGGCAGACAAGCACTCAGCGTCATTGTTTTCCAGGCGATTGTATGTGGTAGGAATCCCGTAAAAGAGATGGAGCCAGGGTGCCTGCCTGTAGCACATGTGTGAGGATTAGAATAAAGCCCCTGAAATGCATCTGCTCCCATGGAGGCAGCTTTCCCAAGACCATCCACCACTCACCAAGGACTTAAGCAATTTTACCTGGTGCAACGTCACTCTGGCCAGGTAAGACGCACCACTTTGGCCCTGCAAGCTAGCAGGGCACCAGCACATGCTTCCACCGCAGCTCTGCAGCAGGAGCAGACGCATCGAGGCGGCGTGCCGAGAAGAGCAGCACCCGCGCCGCGGGGCAGCACCACCCCGTCCTGCCTCCCGGCCCCTCGGCCTTTGGGTCAGGGCACAGTGATGTGGGTCAGGGCTGCATCAGAGCAAAGGCAGGCAAGGGATCTTGCCAGAGAAGATATGGGGTGTCTGACAGCACCCAAGGGCCCAGGGGATGGGCTCAAACCCATCGCTGCCGGTTAAAACCGCCTCTCCCGGAGCAGCCTTTGCCAGAGGTTTCTCAGGAGCGCTGCCCTCTGGCTGGATTTGGCTGTTCCCACGCAGGAACCACCCCACGGCGCCGGGAACCCTCACAGCGCAGGTTCTTCCCCCGTTCCGCCCGAAACCGCTGGCTATTTCGGTGTCCATCACTAGGTGGGGCGGGAGACAGGCGCAGCGCCCGGCGGGGCTGGGCTGGGCTGGGCTGGGCTGGGCTGGGCTGGGCTGGGCTGGGCTGGGTTAGGCTGGGCTGGGTTAGGCTGGGCTGGGGCTCGGCCTGCCCCCAAGCCCCTGCACCCCAGGCACCCCATGTGCCCCTATGCACCTCATGTACCCCCATGCGTCCCCTACACATCCTATATAGCCCCATGCACCTCAGGCACCCCCTTTTACCACTATCTACCCTACGCACCCCGTACATGCCTCTGCACATCATGCGCCCGATGCACTCCTTTGCATCCCATGCACCCCTGCTCCCTGGGAAGCTGGGGGTCTCCATCCTGAGGAGAGATGAGACACCTCCTGGGAAGGATGCAGGTGGCTGGTGCTGCCTGGGGACAGGAGCAGGGACCAGGTGGTCTCCTGAGGTCCCCTCCAGCCGCCTTTTCCAAGGGCAGTGCTCAGTGTCCCTCAGGTGAGCCCCAGCCACCGGGCCCCAGCACCACTGTCCCGTGGTGCCACAGTGCTGGCAGCTTGCATCTGCTCTGAGTCAGTCAGCTTGGGGAGGACAGACACTCGCCACTGGCCTCCCAGCCACCTTTGGGTTTGGGAGTGAAGAACTAAGGTGTTTCTTAAAAAAAAAAAAAGTAGTTGTTTTCATTAATAAAGCTAAAAGCATGAAGCGTGCTTGAGCAGCATCTTTGCACAGCAAGAGAGTGACCCTGTGCCCATTAACTGCCCAAAGCAGCAGCGCTGGCCGCAGCCCAGGCCTCCCCACCAGCTCTCCCTGCACAGAAGAACTGCTTTAGGACTATGTAAAAATTCAAAATATTTAAATGTCCTGGTGTGAGAAGCTGCTCCCGGGTTGGGGGAGCTCTGTGGGTGTCTTCCGAGAGCCTGTGCTTTCCCAGGGAGAAAAAGAGAGGCAAATAACTTGCAGATAAGTGCCCTTATGGTCAGGAGCAGTTTTGTCTGGTTTATTATACTTGTGGGGAAGATTTTTTCCCCTGAAGTAATTAAAATAGCCTCTTTCACACATGAGAAAGGGAGGAGAGGGAACTTTTCCAAAGAGCCTCTTTCCATCTACCTCCCCTCCTATGGCACAAGGACTTTTATCCTAATACAAATGGACCAGCTGAGACTTTTTTAAGGTCCCTGGGGCAGCCATCCAATAACAAAAGCAAAGTTAAACCACTCCAAATAAAAGCAGCAGAAAAAAGGGGGTGTGGTGGTGGAAATAACGCCCAGCTAAGTAGGAAACTTTAATGATGATACATGGAAAAAGTTAAACAATTAGAACTTGAATCCGTTTGGCCCCAGTCCCACCTCATTTAGTTAATAAATGGTGCCCTGCATCGTGTTTGATCTTATGCGTTGCTCTTTCCAAAGCAGCGAGGAGCCCGGAGGAGGCTCCCAGGGTTGGGCAGGTCAGACGGTGGCTGCTGCATGGGCCGGGGCTGCCATGGGGACAGTGGGGGGTCTCGGGGGGGCCCCAGGGCTGCCCAGGCACCCTGTGTCCCCCTCTTCAGCCTCACGCCTGGGGATCGCCCCACAGAGCTCAGCCGTGGGACTGAAGCCTCACAGTGCCCAGGGCAGAGGGGCCAGGGATGGAGGTGGCTAGAACATATAAACACATCTGACATACGTATGCATTTAAGGGTGAATGGAAAATCACTAACTGGGGAGAGTCATAAGCATCTTAATTATTTGAATACGTGCACTAATTAGACATGGAGCTCCACAGACCCAAACTATGTGAAAATCTTTCATGCCACACACAGATCCTCAGAGGCTTTGTCTTTCTAAGTATTTTTAGGCACATACAAGCAACGATTTCCATATATGAATGCTTTCCAAATAAAACCTTTTAGGTTAAACACCTGTTGGAGGCACTTAACTCACATTACTTCTGACTTTCCCACATACCAGTGAATCAAATACCAATCAGCTACTAAAACCAGACCTATTGCGATTTAGCTACACAAGCAAACATTCCTCTATGATACAGCTGCTAAACCCCAGCAAGCCTGCCCTCACCCTCCTGCTCCCCCGTGCTCCTACCACCCAGTGGGTTTTTGTGGTCGGAGGCGGTGGGACAGGGCTTTTGGGACCGCTTTTGCCCCCGCCGTACCGGTGCTGCAGCTCCAGGCTCCCTGCAGAGGCTGCAGCGCTCAGGGACCAAGCCTGAGCAGTGCCGCAGCCGGTGCCGTGCAAGCGGATGTTCAGGAGCGCTCTGTGCATGGCTGTTCCATGGTTTACATCACCTTTGGGGAGAAAGGTGTTTTCTAGGCTGGGTGCTGCCCTGATCCCTCCCATGGCGGTGGGGCAGGTGACATCCCCAGCCCTGCAGAGCTGTGGCTCCTGGTCTGGTGAGAGCCTGGGCCATCAGGTGGGAGAAGGTACCCTTGGAGCAGCACCACAGCTGGTTAAACACTGCTAATAAATCCAATCCATTGGCCTTATGCACAGGCAGATGCAGTAAAGCTCTGGACCATCGCAGGATGAACTGGGTCACACTGGTGGAAAAGAGCCAGGCACCTGTGGGTGTTCACGTAACGGGCAGAGACACAATGGCCCTTCCCATCTCTGCACCCGATGGGATGCAGAGTCCCAGGAAGGTCTCAGGAGTTAAAAAAAAAAAAAACCAAACCCAACACCCCCCCCAAAAACACAGACCAAACCTCAAACAAGGCTCTCGGTGCACAATGCTGTGAGAAGTGCAGCTCTCCATCTGAGATGCTTTTTAAAGTTTATCCCGTGTCCTCCTTATCCGGATGCCAAGGGACCCCCGCACGTATGGGTACTGCTGCGGGAGAGGCCCAGCCGGGGACCTGGCAAAGGCCAAGCTAAGTAATGTGAGACATAAACCTGACAATACAGTTTTATTTTGTATTTCATACAAACAGCACCCCCCCATATTTTACAGCGTTGAATACCGTTACCCAGTGACACGGGAGGCTCGCCTGCGGCAGCTCCTGCAAGCCCCATAACGTGAATGACGTGGCCTGAAGCCAGGGATCAATGTGCCCTTGGATGGGGTTGTGCAAAGAGAGTCCAGCTTTAGGCTCCTTGGGGGGATCAAATGAGTTGATTACTCCTAAGAAAGGGTAACACAAGACAACCATGTGGAAAAATTGATTTGTGGGAACTTGGTTTTAAATTAAAAGCCCCATGCCCAGTGCTCCCAGTGCTGTACTGGTGCAGCAGCCAGGGGCCACTGAGGAGTCCCTGCCAGCAGCCTGCTCACTTTGGTGTTCAAAACGAGGGCAATGAAGCAATTTATGAATTTCTAAGGTGCTCCCTGTGCCAGGGCTGTGGCATCCCCACAGGACACAACCACCACGCAGGTGGCTGAACACAGGACAAGAGCTGCAGAGTGAAGCACAGCCCCAGCTGGCAGTGACCATCTGCCATGGAAAATGGGAAAAGCCCCCCAGGGCCATTCGTGTCATGAGTCTTCCATTGCTCAGCCGAGCTGGATTCAGTCCTGGGTTTGGGTGAAGCCTGAACTTTCAAGCTATGGGCACCGAAGCCCGGCCCAGTGATGCGCCAGCTTCGTGGAGGAATTCAGAACAAATGTTTCTGACAGTGGCAAACTAACGAGCTCCAAGCAGAGGCCTGCAAATGAGGGGCAGTTACACCTCCCACCTGATTACTGTTAGTCTCCTCATCATTTGCAGTTGTCCCAAGTATTTCCCTTCAGATGGTCCAACCTACCAAGCAAGGCTATGCAAATACAAGAAAAACAAGGCTCACTGCTGTGATAAAATTTTTCACGTTTCTTGTACTTTAAGAATTAAAAATCCTGATGGCAGGAGGGGGAGGTGGACATTCTGCTGCTAGTAGGAACGCGCACAGCCAGCATCCCTCCGGCTGCGAGGTGGTACCCAGCTGGGATGCATGCTCGGGCAGCCCAGCCCTGCCGGACACAGGGCAGGAGCTGCTTACATCCCTATAAGACAGCACACGAAAAGGTCTAAATGTGGCCCTGTAACACCCTAAAATCCTTACTCCCTCTGGGGTGCAGAACCTGTGGGAAGAAATTGAATTCCCATCTGGGATAATGCTGCTGACCCTCCTCCAGTCCCAGATTTCTCAGACCCCTGTTATGGAGAGCCAGAAGGGGAAGGAGTGCTTTGGCCATCGCCCCATCTTTTATTTTCCTTTTCCACGGAAGGGAAGGGAGCACAGACATTTCTTTTTCTCCCCCATGTCCTCCCTCTCCCAAGATGAGGAGGAAGGAGGCTGTCGCAAAGCAGAAGTACCCCCGTGGTGCCAAACACACGGCTCCTACCACCACACACGGTGGCACCCAGCAGCTGGGTGACTAAACTCTCTTCTCTCCCCTCCAAACACTAACGTGAAAAAACCTATTTCTCCAACAGAGCAACATCCCAAGATCCTCAAAAACTTTTCCCTGTCAAAGTGGATGACGGACCTGGCTGAAAGCACAGCCTTGGGATACAGGTATAAATCTGAACCCTCTGCCTCTGGACTCGCGGCTGCTCCGGTTACCTCCTAAGTGCCTGGAGGGATTTTCACCACCTCCCCACTGCAAGGCAGACCCAGATGGCAGCAGTCTGGAGGTCTAGAAATAAAGGACTACAAAAATATAGCAAAACCTGGGGAAGAGTCAGAACGGCCAAAGCAAGGACAGCCGTGGGGCAGGAGCGCGGGAAGTGGGAATGGCTGAGGTGGGCTCCGTGCTATTTCAGTGTCCTCGGGTGATTAGATGACAGAGACCAACTGAACTAGGAGTGAAAGAAGGAAGAAAAAAGCCTTGTTGCACACTTAGTGTGGAGATATCTCGGGGAACTCGGATCGGTCCGTGTCAGCCGCAAACTGCAGTGCCCTGATCCAGGGAATTTCACAGCAATTACTGTTCTAAGAGACCGCCCTTCCTCCATACATCCGCTGGGATGGGGCTGAGCCGGCGACCCCGACCCACCGGAACCATGTCCCAGACTCCTCAGGGGGTCAGTTTTTAATCACCGGGGCAGCCGGAGGGCAGGAGATTAAGGTCAGGATATAGGAATCAGCTTCTTTTGTTAAAGTGCCTTGTTTTCTTTGAGCTTTTAAAAACATCTTCCTTGCTTTTTCAGAAGAGGGGGGCAAAAAAAAGGAATACTGGTTTTATATATGAAACAGAGTAGAGAATTAATCAATATTTACACAAGTCTTGGATAAGGTTATGGCACAGACTAATAACCCAACACAGCAACCCAAAAAGCAGAGTGTCAAAAAGAAGGGAAAAACCTGTTCATATGCTTTCAACACCACCCCCTGGAGATCCCAAGTGTAAACAGTTTTATCTAGGAAAAGGCATTTTAACTTGGGCTTTGGTAATCGGGGTTGATTACAGCCACATTGCGCAGCCGGCGGGGAGGACGTGGGTGGGCGCGCGGCCGCCCGACCTCTCCAGAGCACAGCCTGGGTTTAGACAAGTTCAACTTTAGCATTTGGATAAACAGCCACCACGTCATATCCCTCGGGGGGCTTAACCCTCTCCTTCGCGTGCGTCTCGCAGTACAGCTGCTCTTCGATGAAGAAATACCCTCTCTGCTTCAGGTTGAGACCACAGTCGTCGCACATGAAGCACTCGGGGTGGTAGAGCTTGTCCCGAGCTTTGACGATCGTGCCCCTGGTGAGAGACAGGGAGAGCTCGGGTGAGACGGAGGAACAATGAGCATAAACAGCTTTTCCTGCTGCCTCAAGTAAAACGGAGTAAGTGAAGGAAAGCGGCACGTAGGGGCACGCAAGGGTGTTATCGTGGGTTCCCATCCCAACACCTCAGCCCACCCAAAGCTGCCACCCTGCTCCAGGCGCGGCTCCACCACATTTCTGTGGGAAGGGATGCTCCATTCCCATTTGTCTGCACCCCCGGCGGCACCGCTCCACAGCTCCATGCAAAGCGGAGCCTTAAATATCTACGCTCAGCCTGGATCTGACCATGGGGAACTGGCATCCTCCAAGCGCCGCTGGCAGGGCTGGGGCTGTGCTCACGCAGGCACCAGGGGCTTTTGGAGCAGAGTCCCTCAGCTCACAGCACCAGCAAGAATGTGGCTATAGCCATTTGCAGAGCAGACTCTCAGCCAGCAAATCTGGCTCGAGCAGGACATAAATTACAACAGAACATAAATTACAATATGATGAAGCAGAAAACACCTATATTCTCTGAAATCAGACCCAACATGCGTCCATTGGAGAGTAACTCTTAAACAAACAAACAAAAATAATCCGCAGACCTCTCCTACTTGACCCTTGAAGCGTTCCTCCCTCCATAAGGCAGTGAAAGAGCGCCAGCACTGTCAGCGCTATTCATAGTCCCCGGGCAGTTACTATGGTAAGCAGGGCAGAAACCATCCCATGAATCATCCCTGTTTTGCTGCAAGATTCCCTTAAAAGGGGCAATCCAAACTGTATTCCTCAATTCCAGGTTTATATACGGTTAGCAAAAACCAGAAAGGGATTCAAGGTATTCAGCTACAAATGCAAGGTATTCTGCTGTAAGTGCTAAGCCGCATGTCTGGCAGGACCCGACCCAGCCACGTCCCTGCGTCACCGTCCCCACCAAACCGGAGGCTCCGGTGAGATGCGACACTTACACGATCCCGTTCCCGCAGCGGGTGCACTCGGGGAGCATCTGCAGCCCAGACATGGCACCGCCAAGCTTTGACACTGGGGACTTGATGTTTCGGGGGTTGCTCAGTTTGTCAAGTTTTTCACCTGCCAAGAATTTTAAACAGACACAGACTGAAAACTTATCCTCTCAAGGCTTCCCCCCACCTTTTTTTTTTTTTTTTTTTTTTTTTTTTTTTTTTTTTTTTTTTCGGGAGA